ACTGAGTACCTCCTCAGTAACGCAAGCAGGATTCTTTGGTCTTGTGTACCAGGAAAAACAGCATTACATGCCTAAACCCAACAGACTTGACTTCCTCTGTGATGCATTTTTTGTTAAAAAGAAGTGATTCACTCTCTGGCAGTAGTAAGTTATGCACTGATGCTTAAGGTCGCTAATCATTAGTGGCACTGTATGAGTAGGGTTACTGTGAGACGTCGCGTCAAGGGCCCCCCGTGATGTGTGCTCAGAGCGAGCACGGTGCTGGCACCTTAAATAATGCGTTAGCTGCACGTTCGGCATGTATACCGTCACATACGCATTGAGGGGGAATCGGCTTTCAGGTCAGCTACTGGCTCCCGTCGCTGTGTTTAAATCGTCTGCCTCACTGCTGCAGCCCGGAATCAAAAGTAGCCCTGTTGTTTGCTGAAGTCGGGGGGAGAAAAAGTGGAGACACTCATTTCAAACCCGGGACCGCCTACAAGGGGCTTGGCGACACGTCGGCAAGCCTGGCGAACGCTCCTCCAGCACGATTGACCTTTTCAGGCAGGAAAGTCAAGGTGCTGTGCTTATCTCTGTCGCGGTGCCTGAATTAGAGATCAAACACACCAGGACCTGATCCACTCGCAGGAAATTAAAACATCATGAATCGACAAACGAAATTTCTCCTCTGAACAGAATTATAATGGGATGCATGAATGGCATGCTGAGATTCGCCGGGCCTGCCACACACAAAGCAGGCAGTATGTTTTCATTTGAGCCCTATGTTTTTCAATATATGATCTTATTGATAACCTCTGATCATTCTGATCATTTTATCCATATAATTCCTTGTTTTATGTACACAAGCGCAGGGCCAGATCTTGGAACAGGCGAACTAGGCATATATATATATATATACACACACACACACACACACACACACACACACATATACACACGCGCACACACACATACACAATATATATATAATACATAAAATACAGTATCTGTATATATGTAAAATTTAGAAATAAGAATAATTAAAAATTATATATATATATATATAAACATATACATAAAATGTAAGGATTTATGGGGAGGCAGAACCATGGCCGGCTCTGGCTATAGGAGGAGCAGGCAGTCACCTTGGGCCCCTGAATTACATGAAATGCTCATCAGTTTTCTTGGCAGGGGGGCCTCCCACGTAAAGCTTCGCCTAGGGCCCCCAGAAAGGTGGATGCAGCCCTGCCCAGAATGCAATGGCAAAAACCTTTAATTTCATGTTTATCTCCCAAAATGGGTTAAAACTGTTTAAAATGTAAGTCTGCTGTTTTATTTGTGTATATAATGGACCTGTTTAGTGCCTCATTGCATGAGACATTTTTGTTTTACTGTTAATTGTTAATTTATCATTAATTCCACTCTGCATTTAAGAGCTACTCATAGCAGAGAGCTTGGGGCAACAATGTAAATCTGTTCATTAACCTCTGATTTCCTCTGAATGCCCCAGCACGTATCTGGCATAGGGCCGATACAGTGTACAGTTTGGAGAAAGAAAATGCTGCTTTTCCCACACAGGGCCACGTTTTGTATGAAGGATGGCCTACAGTTAATTAGTGTCTATCATGCATACTTAATGTGCAAACTGCCCTTAAACAGAACTCGGAAAAGTGGACCAGTCATACAACTCATTACTGTACCGTTGCTCATTACTGCTCTTTCATACGTTTTTATGTGAAAAACTGATTAGAACAATTTCTCAAAAGCTTATTACACAAATCAGCATAATTTCCAAATCCACTGATATATTTAAAAGGAACATCACAGCTGGATTCCATCATATGCTCACCAACCCTCTTTATTGTGCTTCCTATTGTCCCCCAAAATTAAATGCACTGAAAGTTGTCAGAGACTAAGAAACGGAAAAATCATTTCACGCTTCAAACACAAAACTAGAAGCCTAAACAGCCAGAGTTGTGCATTAACAGGAGGGAATCTTCTTTAGCATAAAGCACAGTGACATCATCAGACAGGGACACATTTTGACTTAACACCAGGAGAGAATGCAGCCTAATGTATAATTAGTGTAATTATGTAAAACCTAGAAGCTGAAATAGCATTGCAACATAACAAGTCAACAAAACTGTTTGTTATGCATGCAGTGCGTGTTTGGCGTGGCAAGCATTAGGAAAATTTAATCAAGGACACTGAGCCTTTAATTGAAAATAGCAAATAAAAGGCTAAATAAAACAGGATAAAAAATGTAGATACTGTGGTACTTAAATGTTTCAACATGAATTAAAAAAGAGCATAAATGAAAAGACAGAAATTCAATTAGCATTTTTTAAAGCGGCTTCTCCCAAGCCAACCGGAGAAACTGCACAACTCGCAGCGCCAAGAGAGACAGAGAGACCATGTTTATTAGGGAGCGTAAACCTCACTGACTCAGGTACAGTCGGCAAGCAGGGGATTGTGGGACGTAGATGCTGCTGCCCCTTTAATGCCAGGAGGCTGGAAACTACCCTGGGAGTTTTTAATCATGGACTCTATAGGCATCGGGATATGGGGGAAAGGGGACACACAGATTCGCCCTACTTTGCTTCTCATGCGTCTTCTGATCCAGCAGTGAGTGAACATCGTAAAATGGATCCAAGCTCTTCAGCATGAAGCAAGCTGGTGTAGTCAGAAGCAGTCATCTTAAAGGGCCAGACCACCTTTGATTCTTACTCTGATGGATCTCCCTGCAGACCATCAAGATTATCTGAGGCTCCACGATAATGATGCAATGCACTCATCTCATTTCTTAATCTGTAAAAACCACACCAATTAAACAGCAGGAATTCTAAGGCTTATTTGTGTTTCTGCATTCCACAACCTTAATTTTTTACGGCGCGTTTCTGACAATCACATGGGCTCGAATGAAGATCTATCGCCGCGCGTCGATGTGTCCTGGCGTGTGCCAAGCGCTTGTTACCCTGACCCCAACCGCATTTAAGCTCACAACAGATGGTCGCACAGCTTATGAAACCAAACAAGGCCGCCACGTTCCAGCGCTTTGCGGCCATTATAGCCGGAGGACGGCTGGCCGCGAATGTGCCGCTCCAGGCCTTTTCAAGGTGTCTTTCCCAACGGGTCCGTTTTCATCGTGGTGGAGGTGCCTTTATTTTGTGGTGACTCAGAGTGCTGGGGCGTCTTCAAGGTCAGAAATCTATCACAACATCAGAGCATCAATACAAGCAGCGAACAGGCAGGACGCCACTGTTGGCTCTGTTACTGGCAGGAATGTTACTGATTATATATTACGTGCAGTCTGCAGTGCTCTATGGGGTCCTCAAGAGTGTATGTGTGAGAGTGTGTGTGTGTGTGTGTGTGTGTGTGTGTGTGTGTGTGTGTGTG